AGACAGATAGACAGACAGAGAAAAGCGGGCATTGTCTTATTTCAAAAACAGAGTAAAATGGCGATATAATTAATCTCAACTCTTAAATAAACTGCTTTAATTATCATGTTCAGCTAATCATAGGTAGATAGATAACTGGTTTTATTAATGAAAAACATCATGGCGGCATAGCCGAATAGCGATGAGATATCTACCTTTTAAAATGACATAAATACATTTGTACAAACATTTAAAGGGACTCGGTAACATTGTTGAAGATTGATGAAAAATTGCGTAAGTTTTGTATGAAATTTTACTTATCATATTACTCCAAATCTTGACAAATTTCTCAAACAACAATGATATTTATGTTTTTCCTTGAAGGCGTCATTGTGCGACACCCTCTAACAGTAAATTCTCCCAATCATTTTTGAATTTTCCCAACCGTTTTTTCATGACAGTAAAACATACATGTAAGACAGGCTTTTTTTAATCTTTCAACACTTAAATGTATTGAATGGTACTTGTATGTAGAGCCATTTCATTGCATTGTGACGATTTAAATTCACCTTAAATGTAATTAAATTGTAATAATAGTTGGGAGAATTAAGAAATCGATCAGATTACTTTTTCTCAATTTTTATCATTAATAATAGTTTGTTTTAACTCGAACTTTCAGATTATCTTTAATTGTACATCTAACATTGAAGTCACTACCTCATAGCACCACTTTGTCTCATCTGAACAATGTTACAAAGTCCTTTTAAAGTACATGGTGAAATATAAATTCAAAAACATGTTGCATATTACAAATTCAAACCGCATCAGAAATTGATATTTGTCTTTATTATGAAAATGTTATGTTAAGAATCCCGATCATAACATGAACATTGTAGAGTTCGTATAAATACCTCGATCATCTTTCATTTGTGATGAGATCATTACTCTTAGTACCTTAATAGTATTACCTTGAACTTTTGATTACTCTTATTAACTTGATAAAAAACCAAACCTGAGCCTGAAAACTCGCAAAGACATCGTTGTATAACTGTGGTTTTATTTGGAATATTCGTTATCAAGAGATCGGACTGTAGATCACTGATTATAGCAAAAGCACGGCCATCAAATCCCTGCCTTCGGTTTAAATTTCACATTTGTCTCAGCATAGATAAATGGGTATCGGAATAATGTCTTTGAATGCCTGAATACCGAATCATGGTAGCGAGACTAAGCTTAAATCGACTGTACTTGTATGTTGCACAATACACCAGTTGACGGTAGTATCAGTGCGCATGCGCAGACAGTTGACCTCGGGTCATTGGCCCTGAAACAAAGCCAATGACCTGAGGTCAGTGGTATTTATGCGTAAATTAAGATTGCGCCCATGCAAATGATGATGTGCGCGCACAACGCAGCGCGTAGCCAGTGATATCATCATAATTTGCATGGGCGCAACCTCAATTTACGCATAAATACATGACCTCTAGGTCCTAGGCTTTGTTTAAAATGGCGCACACAACCGTAAACTGGTGTATTACTTTATCACTAAATTGTACACGATGTACCAGGATTAAAAAAAAAACAATATCTAGCGCACACTTTTCTCAATTATTTGAATGAAATGGTATTCACTTCTGTTAATTGCCTATATACATGTTTATATAACATATAAGTAGATCCTTGTCATTTGATTGGAAGATTGTTAGTCACATGATATTCCATTAATAATTTATTGAACGACTACGTCATCGAGCGTGCATTTTTGTTCTGTTCTGCGTGCATGTTTGATTATATAAAAACAAATATGACTGTTTTTCATTCGTTCAATAGTGCAAATAGTTTCATTCGTTGAAAGATAAACGTTTTATTAAACTCATAAACGTTCATTATTTGTATAATATTATTACATTTCAATGTTGCTTTTTATTATTCAGAAGAGCCTGTTCATTATATATATACATCAAAGTATTTTCATTGAAACGTAACGCAATTTTAAGTGAATCACTTAGTAGTGCATTGTGCGTCACCAATTGAAATCTGCGAACATGACAAAGACGTATTGCGTAATTCACCATGATTTCTATTGGATATACAATAAGGTATCGAACTTGCACTTGAGTTGATTCTTCGAAAACAGTTGAGATCGAGTTATTTTTTAATTTGAATTTGAATTTGATTTTTTTTTAATTTGAATTTATTAACAACAACAACACATCACAGTACATATGAACAATCATACAATTCAAAAAGATAATACTGATACATGTATACATAACATAAAAGTAATGTCGATTGAACAGAAATGGTTTTAAAACGATATATTTAGACATACATCTGCATACTATTAAAAGTACAAAAGATATATACGTAAATATGTATATTACTATATTTAGGTAAAGTTGTTAATGGGAACTAGAAGTTAGCACAAGTGCTAGTCGAGCCTAGTTCCATTCTTTGGCAAGATTTTTTTATGTTAATTTGTTTTGACATATGAATTTTAAACTTGTTTGTTTTGTATTAACATATATACAACAAAATAAAACAGTATCATGTAACTTTTTTTCATACTAAAATGAGAAAAAAAAAGTTTAAGTGTTAAAGCATTATAACGAAAGAAGACAAATCTTTGAACAAATAAAATCATCAATGTGTTCATAAAAATTAAAAGGATGTATTAATAAAAATAATCATACAGATGTGCGTACATGCACAAATCCAGTAAAAGCTTAAGGCAGCTATAATTGTAAACAAGCAAGTGTATACATATATAAAAGGAAGACAAGTAAAATAAAAGGAAAAACGAAGGGATGGAATAGGGCCCACGTCATTTACATAGAAGGTAGGTGGAAAGATGTCTCCGAAAAGATAACTTCGATGTTTTTAATCTAATTTCATCTGGGAGATCATTCCACAGCTTTGTTCCTACAAACGAAATACAACATCGCCCTTGCGTTGTCTTACATTTGGGTTGATAGAGTAAGCCACTCTCTTTTCTCCTAGTTGCATATCTGTGCTGTATCATCTGACAATAATCCACTAAAGAGTGTGGTAAAACACCTTTTACCCAATCGTACATAAATGTTGATACAAGAAGTTCATGAAGTTGAATTTATTTTAAAATGTTTAGACTTTCTGAAAAAGAGCTTTGGAGTCTGTTCTAAGTGGACTGAATGTAATTGCTCTCATTGCCATTTTTGACTTAAATATATACAATTTAGATTACTTTTGTAAGTGCTCCTCCATAATTCTACTCCATAAGAGAGGTGAGGCTGTATAAAAGCCTTATATAATAACACAAGTATATTCTTGGGAACAAAATGTCTCAGTTTGAACAGAATACCTACTTTCTTTCTTATGCATTTGTTTATTGTCTGAATATGTTCTTTTAACATGTATGCGTTGAACAGTGAAAGACACCAAACAGTTACTATAAATACACATTTCGTAGAAATACAAATTAACATTAGTTGCTAACTACAGTGGCTTAAAGCGTGAGGCGTTGCTACTTGCATGGGGAGGGAGCAGCGGTCTTCGGTCTGATGAGATGGGTGAACTAAACATTAATAACACCATTGAACAGGGGAGGCTATGGGAGGCGTCACATCTTCTTTTTTTCGTGTTCCCTTTACATTCTCTCTTTCTGTTTCGCTAAATGTTCAAATACATTAGATAGGCCCTTCGTTTAAACGATTTAGGAAATGGAAAGTTTAACAAAGGGGATAGACGGTCCATTATCATCTGGCTAATAAGAGAGAAATGGAAGCTGGAATTATATATATATATATATATATATATATATATATATATATATATATAATGTATGTATATATATGTATAGAACCTTTAGGAAATGATCTATGTAGGCGTGCTTCCGACCCCCTCCAACTCCCCGTATCCCCTGGTTCCATGCATAATGAGAAGAGCAGTTATGCAGTTAAAAATGTTAAAAACGACCGATCCCGGGGAAGCGAAATTCGAAAGTAATGGCGTTGGATTGTGAAGTTACACAATTAAGAATTAATCTCATTTTCTACAGTACATGAAAGCAAATGCCTTCCTGGCCAGAAAGCGGCACTTTAGAAGATTGATCTCTATACACAGGCGCGTACGCAGGGGGGGGGGGGTCGACCCCCCCCCCCCCAATTTTTTTGGTTGTGTTTTGGATGAACCCCCCTCAATTTTAATAATAATAATAATAATAATAATAATTAAAACAAAATTATGCTAATGGGTGAACCAAAAAAATTGACCTTACCACCCCCCCCCCCCTCCCCTCCCCCGGCCCCCGGAACGAAATATCGAACGGTCATATTTTCAAATTTCCGGGACAGTTCTTTTCAAGTGGCAGTTCGAATGAAACCGTAAAAATTATCACTATTATGATATGAGCTTTTCGATTCAATTCTCATTTTCATTCTTGGTTAAAAAATTACATTGAAATGGGGAACTTCTAGATAAAGCCCGTATGCCTTGTACAATCCTAAGGATCTTTAACATTACAGTCTTTCTTTTTCGAGAATTACAACGAGCTTGTACTCGTATATTCGACCATTGATTGGCATGTTCGCACATTGTAGCAAGACAATTAGAAGCTTTTTAACATAAAGTGACTATTCAATGTTTTTGCAAAGTCATGAATTTGGTTCAGAAATAATTTTAAAATCTTATTAAGAACTTTTTGAGGAAGAATGATCAAAATTATCTAAGGAAAATGCCGTTAATTTTTATAACGGAAACAAATAGGAGAAAGAGAAAAAACAGGTCCGACTCACCCTATATTATACCTGTCATCACAACTAGAAAAGTTTTTTCAAAGGAACTTTGTATACATATACCATTGTTGTTACCAAGCCTTGTTTCCGTCACTTTTAGTCTACCTTTTTGAGAAAAATGTAAAGATACAATTAGAGCCTTGATGGTCGAAATACAACATAACCCAGAAAGCGGATCACATTGAAACAAGTAGAACTTAATGCCCAATCGTCCAAATGAGAAGTGCTGTTGCTGACTTCTGACATCTATCAATTAGGAGGTATCAGGTGATTGCACCTGAGATTGACCGTGAGATCCCGGATCAACTCCTCCCAAAAATAGTCTTGTCCTCTTTCATCGTCTGGCCAAACCAGATACGGTCGATGATCACTGAGAAACAGTCTGATTAGGAAAGGGAGCTCGTCATCCTCAATGTCCTCAACGAAAACGAGAATCATCTTCTCTGTACCGACGTCATTGACGTGATCGAGAACGGTTCGGAACTTCATCATGAACCACTGGTCCTGTAAGGCAGCGTGACTGATCACGAAAATAGTCTTGAAGCTTTTTTCTGTAGCATAGTGGACGGCGTCGAGGTAGTACATACCAAGCATGAGCTCTTCATCACCACAAACGATTCGATTGAAGTCTGGAACTCGCTCCATCAGGGCTGGTCTCAAATGTTGGTTGACCCATTCATCATCGGCTTCATCGAGCATGATGGCGATATCGTACTCGAATTCTCCTCTGTCGACATCGTCGTGTATCTCTTCGTATCCAATGAAGCAGAGCTTTAGAAGGAACAGTTGATATCTGACCCACCATCGCTGGTAGTAGATCAAACCTAGAGTAAAGATTAGTACCAAACCTATTATGGCCAAACAAGAGTAGAGGATAATGTTCGGACCACATTCGTCTCTAGGATCAAAATTGATTAATTGTTTGCCCCTAAAAGGCTCCAAAGTCACTGTATTATCAAGGCATGTCGTAGCAATCGAATCAACAAGCTCTACTGTCCCTTTCAACCAACCAGGTAACCATTTAAGATCACAATTACAGACAAGTGGATTGACAGATAGTCTCAGGGTTGTTAGACTCGCTAGGGGTTCAAACGTGCTATGGTTCAAGCCAGATATACGATTTTCCGAAGCATCAAGCCACACAAGACTAGATAAGTACTTGAACAAATTAGAATCAAGGTATGTCAACTCATTTCCTGACAAAAATAGATATTGCAAATCATATAATTTATCGAACAACCCAGTGGAAATAACCTTTAGAAGATTGTTTTCCAAATGCAATGAGACAAGGCCTTTCAGATCTATAAATATACCTATTTCTAATACATAAAGCGAGCATTTATCCAAACGTAAAATTTGTAAATTCGATAAATTCTGGAAGATGCCCAATGGGATGGAAAGCAATGGATTACTTGAAAGTTTAATTTGCGATAGGTTTTGCAAACCAAAGAAAGAAGATTTGTTGTTGGATGAATCCCATAGCAACCCAGGCCCAAGCTTATTTTGTATTAGATTGAGTGTTGTTAAAGAGGGAGCTTCGTGGCCAAGGTTACCGGGTTGAATCAAACTTGTAAGGCAATACGAAGACTCTAAATTTAAGGTAGTGAGGAAAGGAAGGTGATGAAAAGGTAGCTTAAAAATATGTGTGGAAGACAGATCTAACTCACTCAAAAATGGAAAATTGGCAAAAGTGTTCTTTTCAATTACTTGAAGTTTGAAATTGCGACTCAAGTCTAATGTCTTGAGAGTTTTAAGACCATGGAATGCCGAGTCGTCAATTGCTGTGAATTCATTGCCTGCCAAGTTAAGATGTATGAGTGAGATATTCCATGGGGTAGATTTACCACTGAGAGTTAGGATTCTGTTTGCATCCAATGTAAGAGAGCGAAGAGCCATCATTCCGTTAAAGACACTTGGTTCTATCTCTTCCAGATTTTTCAATCCTAGCTGAAGTTGAGATACACCTGCTAAACCATCAAAACCATTGTCTTCAATCATATCGATGCTATTCATTTCAATGTCAACTTTGTCTAGATTCTTTCCTTTGAGAGGTGCAAAGAATCCATTCCGGATGGTGTGGAAATTGGCGCCTGTAAAATCAAACCCTTTAATAAACATTGATAATCTGATGCCATGAAAGAAATTCGATACCTGAGAAACTGCTATGCCCGTATCCGTCAATATTATATGCTTGACATGAAACGAAGAGATAACGATGGTTTCAATGAATTCAATCGGATTTCTAGACAAATCTAGCATATTAACACTGTTGTTAAAAATAAACGACTCTTTTGAAATTTGTCGGAATATGTTCGAATCAAGGTAAATATCGCTAAGAAGATTTGAACTGGTCCAGTTTATCTTTCGCAGGTTATTTCCGGAAAGACTCAAGACTGTCCCTTGGGCTAAGCATGCAACAATGTCACCTGCAAATGTCTTCACATTAGAATATGCTGTATTAAAATCCGCCAAGCTATGAGAACTAAACATTGACTTCTTAAGAGTAGGAACATACAGGTTATATGCAATCGAAAAGCGAAACAGGTTCTTCAAGGGGCTGAATGCACCTTCTTCAATGCGAGATATATTATTGTTATCTAGTGTGAGCTCACGAAGTCTAGGATACCTCTCAAATGTCTCATTTGTAAGCGTGGTTAGAAAGTTTTCGTCTAGGAAGAGCCCTCTGAGATCGGGTAAGAGATCTGTAGGAACAAACCTGAAGCCCTTATCAGAACAGAAGGCAAACTTCAGACTGAAGTCCTGACGACATGATGCTGCCTCAATGGTCTCCCTTCGGCGAATAGATGTAAGAGTAATTATGACGAACAAGATGGAGTAAAGACCTGACATCCTCATCTTGTTGACGTTTCATGTAACACCTGACCAGTATTTTCCGAGATTGTCCTCCGTCTATTAAAAGAAATGGTACGAAATAGGCTTACTTAAACTGTAAACAAACTAGAAAAAGAAATGTGAATATAAACGCCACTGTGCTGTGCATTATAACGGTTCATATTCATGACTTCCTTATAGAAGTCTTGCTTATATGCTAATGCATATGTGTTTTGGGTTGATAGCTACGTAGCGTAGCTGATACTTATTGGACCAATTTACCACACGTTTCAGACATTTCTGAACATTTAAAAATGTTGCGCGCGCGGACGCTTGTGCGCGCGCCTTTGCGTGTGTCGCCCGTACTGAATGTATTCATTCTATTAGTTAACTTGTGTTGTGTTGCTGATTCTATTCTAAGCAATTTGAAATCACTTTTAGCCAATACTGACCTTAAATAAACCTCAAAATCGATGCACGTGCGCATATGCCAAAATTGCCAAAAATTGTCAGAAAACTACCTATTTTTAATCTGCTATAACTCTTCAAAATGGCTGTTTAACCCCCAAATATTTCTTTTATGTTCTGATAGGGTATGAGTTGGTGATGCTATTTCATGTATAACGTAAATGAAAACAAATGGATTTTATGCGATTAGGTATTACATTTGCCGTTTAAATATATCCCGTCTATACCTACTCTGATCTCTCCCATTTATGTAATTACGTTGTAACTCAGACTTGACTCGATTATTGTACTGTGATTCCTTTTCTTTTATTTGAAAACTAGGTCGTGGTCAAAATTCCGAGTTAAGGTGAAGACTGCAAAATCTGCCATTATGGTTTCTACTTGTACGTGAGATATGAATGGAGGCTGAGATCTCATTTCAAAGTCCGAACTTCTCATTGACTCTGTGTCATTAGATGATCAGCCGCAATAGTGTAGCAAATATCCGAATTTGCTTGTACATAGGCGTTGGCTCTGAATGTGCATCTCAAGAGTTGGATGGGTGTGTTAAAGCCCCTCTAAAGTGGTGGGGGCTCCAAAATCGGCAACAATTTTATGTCCAAATTCCACTTATATTATCATAATTTGAATTCAAAGACGATGTCATTTCAGACACATTTCTGCAAAGATTCCCCCCCCCCCGAAAAAAAATGTGTTTGAAGACAAATAAATTTCTCAAAGAATACATGATTTGGGTTTTCTGTAGTACGCAGAAAATCTAGATTTTGTATTCTGTCATCAATATTCGACGTCAAACACATTTGTTTTGAAAATCCTTGCAGCAGTGTGCCCTAACCCTAAAAAGGCCGGGCTATTTGAGGTCTTAGTACGGCCGGGGGGGGGGGGCATAATGCCATAAGGCATAATGCCCCCCCCCCCCATAAGATCTCGACCGTGAAGCCGCCGCCGATCTCCACGAAAATTTGCACGGATGTCAAGTGAAGTGTATAGAATACTATGATAATTTCATTTTTTTTTTAAATTCACTCATTTTCATATTTATGGTAATCTATGCAAATAAGGTCATAAAAATCACATTTTTACCCATAAATCATATATTATTCATATTTAAGCATTCTTTTTTACAACATGTATTCATTAGACCATTCGGAATAATAATAATACGACAAAAAATTTGGAAGAGCCAGCTTATTCCTTATGTTATCTCTTGTTTTGATAATTTCTTATGTATTTCATTGTTTTTTTAAACTTATGTATTTTATTGTTTTTGTTGTTTTATTTCTTTTCTTACTACAATTCAACTATTTTGACTCCCAAAACAACCACCTCAACTTTAAATAAGACCCAATAACCCATGTTTGATCTATTTTTCGGAAAAATGACTTTTCCATATGTTTTGTACACAACTCGCGAAAATGAGCGATTTTCGGGCTCACAGGGGAAGACAAAAGGTCACGTGACCAAGACTGGAAAGAAAAAGTCAGCGAGCGGCGGGGCGCCATCCATATGCGTTCCCGAACAATCAGAAAATCGTGGAGGGGGGCATAATGCCCCCTCCCCCCCCCCCCAGGCCTTTTTAGGGTTAAATAGATCGATAGATAGATAAATAATTTATTGGTCCATATTCAAAACATAGAAAATTGGCCTCCACTGGCAGCACATAAAACAAAATACAAAGTAGTTACAAAATAATTGATAAGTCACATAATGTACATAAATTCACACGAGATCATGGCATCAACAAAAAGCATAAGTATAAATTACATAGTAATAGGGAAAACTTAAGAAAGAAGTCGACATTTAAAGATTGAGAAGAGAGAAAAGGGTAGTAAGGAGACTAGATTGAGGAGCAAAAATAGTAATAAGAGAGAAAGAGGGGAGAGGGGGAGAGAGACAGAGAGGGAGGGGGAGATAGAGATAGAGAGAGAGATAGAGAGATAGAGGGAGAGACAGGGAAAGATAGGAACGAAAGGTGGACACGATGGAGGAGGTAAGAAGAGAAGAGGATATAATAGAGGGAGGGGAAAGAAAAGGAAAGGAAGGGGGACGAGTTATACACGACACATGTAAGTAAATTGTTAACTGTCTATCTGAGAGGTAATAGACCAGTTTCGCAGCGTATCCACGTCGAATGTACGACTGACTCCTCCCACCCACCAGGAACAATTGTATCCCAACAGGCAGAATGCGAATAGCACACGAAAGCCGCTACCAGGCTGGCAATACATTAGAGCTCGCCCAACCTAGCAACAACCAACGTACAACCAACGTACGCAACTCACACGCCGCCCACCGAAACACAGCTACTCCCAACAGTGAATGGAGCCACCCGTATCCAGGCACCCCGACAAAGACCCACGCACCCAACCCGAACCCACTGCGAAACTGGTCCATTATGTTGCACATTTTAAAAAACCGGTTTTATGGTACTAATTATGTGTAAAAACAGAGCAGAGGCAAGATTGAACATTGGGTCATTTGGCAGGTGTTAGAGTTACAAGGAAAATATAAATATATAACTGGCTGGCAAGAGACTTTCAAAAGGGTCATCGTTTAACATTAGCATTGAACATAAAGAATGACATACGGTACAAAGGATTGTCTGTAACGACAGCGGTTGCTCCTCGGTACGCGTAGGCGAATACCTGAGCGATTGAATCCAAAGAAATGATGTAATGGTGTGATGGGTCATTCATTATTATGTGAACTTTAAGTAACATACGTTTTTCATACACAGTACTGATAGGGGGAAGATCTGAATAAATTAACCGCTGGGTAATTTTCCTGGGTCTATCTAACTTTCTCCGATTTTGTTTTGAAAGATTACCAAAAGTGCACAATAAATTGAATGTCAGGATACTCTGTATAAGAGATTGGTAAAAGAGAACTATAATCCTAAATGACATCCTCTTACACATTATGATAGTTTAAGTGAAATTCTTTGGGGCTCCCAACACTTTAAAGTGGCTTTAATGCTGATTTACTTTAGTGTTCAGATACATATATATTGCCGGTAAATTGTTTGTATAATGAATTGATAACTTTTGCAAATACATAAGTGTGTACTAGTTCAATGTTTTACTATTACCCTTTAAAAGGTATAGAAACGGTAGAAGAATGGGATTATGTTTATGATATGAATGTACGCCTCATGAAATTATGATTAAGGTGTGAACAAGCACGTAGCTACTAACGTAGTCTTACTGTAGCGAAGTGTAAACACGGTACCTACGTTGAATATAAATGTGAATAGGTCCTTTTTTCTAAGAAAAGGAACTGTGTGGCACCTCTGATAAGCTACAGATGAACAGTCTTGTGGTCAAGCAAGGGCAAGCTTCCCTCTCCTCCACCAGTGATAGTTGTCGTATTTTGTATCCATGATGCTACGGTGGAGCAACTAGCTTAGTAATGCTAAATATATTACTCATTGCGGATATAGTATCGAAAATAATATCGGTAGTGACATTCGTTTGTCTCGCAATATATGGTCAACAAGGGATCTAAAAGATCATGACGTTTCGTGTGCCGCTGCTACACTTCGTCAGGTAATTCGATAGCTTGATAATATTAGTTATTTTGTAGAAAGCGTCTTAAGTGGTCGGATCTGTATGATAATTGAGGTTTAGAACAACCCAGCATTTTATAAGTTTTAGCAGGATGTTTTCTGTAGCAGATATGGCAGAAACAAGTTTCTCTTTAGCTCATGCAGTGGAGCAATAGCACAAGGGCATTTTCTGTAATCAGGGAAATAATACTTTTCCTTTGCTGGCTTACTCCAGATAGGAAGTTATTTTGGAGTTTAAAGGGTCTCTACAGCAAGGGATTAATGCTCTCACTATTCTTCCTGTTATTTTATTGCACAGTTATCTATATTCTTTTCTTAAATCTTATTTTCAGATGATTCAAACAATCATTATATGTATCTAATTGTCCTTGTGAGTTTTGGAGAGAACATAAAACTGTAATAGTTCAATATACATGTAGTTTTATCTTGACTTATTTAGTTTTGCGGATAATATCAGCAATTCCAAATAACTTGTATATTATACAAGTTATTTGGAATTGCTTGGTTATTGAACGTAAGGCTTAAACATAGCAGGATATATAGTATTCTAAGCCTTAAGATGAAAAGATAAATGAGTGCATCATTTATTTACCAGAATTGCGACGCATTTTTTCAAAGATGAGATACTGAAGTATTAGTTGAATTTGTTGGAACCGCAATTAAACCATTTATATTACCTGTGGTATACTTAGGTAAGATGTGTGTAACGTGTTATTGTTGACGCCAGTAAACGTTAGTTGGAATTGACTAAAATTGTATGTCATTGTATTATATAAATTATTTTAAGCTGTTTTTAAAGTTAGAGGTTAGCTGACCTGCCAACCTCTGGTGTTTAAAAACTGTATTCTTTAATCCCGAAAGTTGTATTTTACTGACAAAATTGTATTAAAAAAACACAGATCAAAGCCTCTTACAGTTCCTACATACAGGAAGAATTTTTTATATGGATAATTGGTTGAATATGCATGATTTCGTCATGACTGGTGTGTTCGATTAACC